TCAACGATGTGGCCAAATCCTTTTCGGATTTGACTTGTTGTGAATAAATTATACTTTTCATTGCACCCCAGAAGGTAACTTTGAACATTTATTGAAATAACACGTAACTGTGTTCTTGCCTTATTGAGAAATATTTAAATACGGGATATTTACAGAAATAATGATAAATATAATAAATTTAATATACTCTTATGTTTCACTTTCTGATTACAGTGTTCTATACCTTTTATGACACTTTGTCAAGAAAAATAGATTTGGACAATTTGCAGTCAAATTTGAATGTGTAAAAACTATAACTGTAACTTATTATGTGTTATGTCCTGTGGACTCCACGATTTCCCTTTTTCGCGGAAACCTCTTAAAAATTTAAAGTAGCTTTTAAGATTAAAATCAGAACCGAGCATTAGCGGTTGTCCATCGGCAAGTGAGTTATGATCTCGACGTTATTTCCTATTTTTCCTTTATGTTTGCTAAACGAAATCGAGAAATCGAGAAAAACTTCCAGACGACAAAATTCGTACAGACAAAACATATACGACTACGTTTTATCAACTTTGTCTGGCTCACTACTATAAAACACGGCGACATGACCCGCCAAAAGGGCCTTCTCCCAGACAAAGTTTGCTGAAAATCTTTATTGCATCGCGCGACTAGCTCAAAATTGCTCGCGCAATGTTCCGACAAACAGAAACGAGGTCTAACGTGCGTTTAGAAATTTTGTAAGGGCACGTGACGGAGGTTTCTGTTTGCAATAGAACTGCAATTAAGATTAGATGGAATGCATTTGTCTGTCGGTGCTAAAAACAGGATCGCAAGATAAACTAAGAACCTAAAGCCTTAATAAAAGAGAAATCGACAATAATAAAAAAAAATGGATGCGTCAGGCTGCCTTCACATGCAACGTAAGATCCGTACGCCAGCGTACGCGTAACCTGCGTTTCTAGTAATGTGTCAAAACTTACGCTATTTAAAAAGTACCCAATTCACATGGAGCGTATTGCGTTAAATTTCGCGTAAAGCGTAACAATCCTGACCAATTACAGATCAGGCCTTCTATTGTACAACAGAGCAGAAATACTAAAGTGATTTTTGATTGGTTGTTAATATTTAAGCGTATTGCTAAATACGCGCCATGTGATTGAGGTACTTTGCGTGTACGAATGTGTGAAAGCGCAATATATGTAACGGTATGCACGGTGGGGTTAGGATTGCAATAAAGAATAGCATTCATAACCTATTGTCACTGGCAACAATTGCATTACTTGCAATCATTTGAGATCACTTGAGATTATTTGCGGATTTAAATTTTTTGTTGCCTACTGGAAATCCTGAAGGTAGGAAAGATTATTTTTTCTAGTACTTTTGTCACATATACTTAGTTCCTCTGCTCTGAAAAAAACTAAATTTTTTATTTCTTAATCTTTATTAGGCTATAAGTATATTGGACGAACTTGTTTTTCGGGAGTTCATGGAATGCTTTGAATATGGATTCCAACATCCTATTAGCGTTTATTGGCATACGATTGAAAAAGGCGAAGCAAACGCTTCAACACCGGAAAATTAAAAAACCGAATATATTGAAAATTGTGGCGGTCCACGCCACCAATGATACATCCCTGCGCGAGGCCCGCAATACCGGCAGTTTGCAGCAACGCCGCTAGGCGTCGCATCGCCGGGGCAGCTTCGCGAGTTCTAAGTTTTGCACCGACGAGTATAAAGAGAGACCCCCTACGGGCTCGAGCAATTCTTCTCGGCGTGAGTCGCCGAAGGCACAGAGCACTTTGACGCTAAAGCCTATTCAGCGCTAAGTCGCTTTCACGGCGCAAGACGCCTGCTCACGGCGGCGGTTGCCTTTACAGCGCGAGTCGCTTCCTCGGCGCCAGTCGCCTACAGCGCTGGCCACTTCCTCGGCGCGAGTCGCCCGCACACGGCGTTAGTCGCCTACGAGGCGCAAGTCGCCCGGCCAACCACGGCGCTCGGTCGCCTACGACGGCGCGAGTCGCCTGCAGCGCCAGTCGCTTCCTCGGCGCACGGCCGCCTACGACGGCGCTAGTCGCCTACAAAACACGAGTCGCCTGGCCAATAGAGGCCCGGCCAATCACGGCGCGCGGTCGCCTGGCACAAGGCGCGAGACGCCCCGCCAATAACGGCGCGCAGTCGCCAGCAAACTATACACCGCGCACATTCCTTCACGGTACCGCGACCGAGACACTTCACTCCAGACTGTCACCGGGTACGGACCTTTGCGCGCAGTCGCCTCAACCTGGCATCTCACACCCCCGGCAGTAAACCGACAGAAGGCCGCGGCTTTTCGAGGAGCGGTTTAAGAAGGACGATGATCCTACTCGGCGACGGCGGACCCTGCCGATGCCTTTACAGGCTATCACGCACAGGAAGAGAAACGTAACGCTCTTTTTCTACTCATCTGGAGTAACGAGCGTGACCAGCACGACCGCGGCCACAGACGCCGCAAAACACGTCGACCCCCCGAAGCGCGCTAAGGGTAACTTGGACAAGGTCCCGGGCACCGGTAAAAAGAGGCAGACGCGCGACGCCTCTACCGCAACCGACGCAGAGGTAACGATGAGGGACGCCCCAGCTACAGCCACCACCGGTACGCAGACGGACCCGGAGGCCACGAAGGTAGATGCATCGACGCAGACCAAACAACGGGGGGGCCAACAGGTTAAAGCGAGATACATTGATATTCATCGCAAATGTAAATAGAATGTAAATATAGTGTGTAAAACTTATATTTTGTGTCGCCTATATTTCTCTTCCCTCCTTTGCGATTCACCTAACTTGGGCCATTCCTACGCACGCACCCAGTAGCTGATTAAGTTAGAATAAGCATAGCTGACTAAGGTAGAATACCGCACGGCAACAGTAGTAGCGCCCATAAAACTCATTGCACTATGGAGAATTCTAGTAGAGCGTGAAGAAAAAGAAAGGCAAAGAATATGGGTTCGCCCAATATTCACACAATTTCGAAGATATTTGCAAGGAGCAAGTGACAATCTGGTCAAAGAAATGGAGCTACAAGACCAGGAAATGTTCAACAATTACTGTAGAATGTCTACAGAAATGTTTGATCAGTTGCTGAGTATAGTTGGGCTTTTCTGAAAAACAGATTGTTGTTCGAGACCCAATACCGGCTCGCACACGGCTTCTGGTGTGTTTGCGTTACTTAGCCTCCAGTGACAGTATGACCTATGACGTCAGCGACGATGTCCTCACGGTCTCGCCAGCCGTGGAGAAGCGCGCTGTCGCTTGTTCTTACTATTAGGTCTCCTTAAGCACTCTCCAAAATTGCGATCAGACCCTCAGAAACCCAGATGAAAGCTTGACCAAAGAATTCCTCCTAGGGTGGGCGCCAGGTGCGATTCCTCGCACCACGATACACAAAACGTAATTCTTTCTCAGGCGTGAGTCTAATCGAGGAATCGTAGTTGGAAGCAGAGAGGGAGCGTAGCGCAATTAACACATTCGATTAACAAGGAACAGAAAAATATATTTAAATAATGCCGATAACAGGTGGAAGAAGATAGGCGTGTTCCACGGCGACCAAGTAGAATCCGAGCAAGCGTCCCGTGTCACCCCACGAGCGCGATACTCATTCCGTCGCCAAATTGCACAGCAATTCCTATCAGTTTCGTACATTGAGAATTCCCGACATAAACCGCAACGAACTCTACCATGTCACTCAAACGCGAAATAACCGAGCACAGTTACTTCCGACGAAACGCACAAAGTTACGCACTTACAACTAACGCCAATTACTTACAAATAACGCGACAGGATTAATACCGACGAACGCAAAAAAAATATTCACTGACAATTAACGCGAAAGTTAGTACCGACGAACGCAAGAACATCCACTTATAATTAACGCGAACATAATCGGAAACAATAACCGTGAGACACTCGCACGCGCGAGAGCAATTTCCTGAGTTGACCGCGGATCGCCCGATCACGCGAGTCCCGAATGACCGCGAACCTCCCGATTACGCGAGTCCCGAATGACCGCGAATCTTCCGATTACGCGAGTCCCGAATGACTGCGAATCTCCCGATTACGCGAGTCCCGAAAGGGCAAAACTCAAAGGCGTCCGTCGCCACGGCGTGATCACGTGATGCTCACGAAGAGCTCGTCCCGCTACGCACAGTATCCTCCACGTGAACGATTTTTACAACGCGAATCCTTGCAACATCCTCACAATAACGCGATACGATTATACGAACGAAGACTACACAATTACACGCACGTTGACTGTCGGCGGCCGTACGTTCAAATTCCTGAGACGGGCACTCGCGATCACTTTCCCGTATGGGCCCTCCAGCGGTATTTCTCGCTCGATCTGTTACCTGACGATTTCCATACTTCCGCGGCACAACGCGACTCCCGGGAGCAGAGATGGTAGATTCAAGCCGCTTACAGCAAGCAGCAGCACAGCGCACACAAGCGGGCAGCCGTGTACGTGTGCGGCGGCTGTGCGCTCGGCGCTCGGCCAGTATCGTACTCAGCTCGCGCGTCTAAAGCTGAAATTTCATGCGAGCGAAGAAAAGCCAGCGTTTATCCCCACTCCACCTCACTGTAAAGCCAGCGTAGAACAGCTAACGCTATCGCCCCTATCATTTTCATGGAGCGAAGAAAAGCTGGCGTATTACCCCCACTCCACGCAATGCAAAGTAGCATTTAAACGCTGAGCTAACGCTACTTAACCGACAAGAAGAAGAACTGTGTATAATAAAAATGGAGTACTCCAATTATTATGGACAGTATATCGCGTACGTTGAATATTATAGACGTACAGTGGCAGCTGCAGTTGCAGCAGAGGTTGTAAGGAGACGACGCATAGCCGCTACAGCTGCAGCTATATATTTAATGAAAAAGAAAAGAAGATACGCGAAGAAAAGGTTTTAGGTAGCACCCATTTTTGAAAATCGTGATGTACATAGTTTTTTCTTTGCGTCGGTCTCAAAGTTAATATTGAAGGACATACGTTTCCACAATTAATTATTTTCGGATGACCGCAACTCAGTTGGAAGAATTGTTGGGCATGGTTGGACCAAGATTGCAAAAGCAGGACGTCATTCGACAAAGTATCTCACCAGCTGAACGGTTGGCATTAACATTGAGGTTTGTTTTGCTTGATCCAATTTAATTTTTAATTTAGTGTTTTTTGTAGTGTATAAACGTAACAACGTTATACATTTTTTCTTAATGCGTGAATATTATGGTATATTATATATTAAATATTATAGATATCTTGCTTCCGGGGACTCCATGATATCGATGTCCTACCAATATCTCGTGGGAGTGACAACAGCGGGTAATATCATCCATGAAACCTGCAAAGCAATATGGGATGTTTTATGCCCTTTAGTTCTTTCGGGTCGACTGGAAGAAGGAGACTGGGTGGATATCGCCAATGATTTTAACGAAAGATGGAATTTCGTTCATTGCATTGGAGCCATTGATGGCAAGCACGTCACCATTCAAGTACGTAAAATCATTGTTTGTATACGATATAATTTAATAAGAAGTACAATTTGAAATAACAATTCTTACTTTTAGTGTCCCAAAAATGCTGGATCAGCGTTTTATAATTATAAACACAGTCACAGCATAGTTCTCATGGCTATCTGTGATGCAAATTATATAATACGTTTTGTGGATATCGGGGCATACGGACGACGAAGTGATGGTGGCGTCTTCAAAGAAAGTGCTATGGGGAAAGCATTCGAAGAAGGTAGAATGAATATTCCACAACCAGCAGTGCTTGGAGAAGGAGGACCAATTTTACCATACTGTCTTGTGGGAGATGAAGCCTTTCCTTTGAAGCCATACTTGCTTCGTCCGTATCCAGGTAGAGGACTGACACCAGAGCAAGAAATGTACAATTACCGTCTGAGTCGTGCGAGACGAATAATAGAAAACGTATTTGGTATACTCGCCAGTCAATGGAGAGTATACAGAAAACCAATTATCGCCAGTCCTGATAACGCAAAGTTAATGGTTCAAGCAACTGTTTGTTTGCATAATTGGCTTCGCCGGCAGGACATTGATGAGAACGCATATGTGCCTCCGGGTTTGATCGATGTCGATGATCCGCGCACTGTCCAAATGGCTTCAGACCAGGGTCTTGGCGTGTCATCATGGAAGATGGATGCGCATTCAGAGACATCTCAAACTGTGGATCGAACATGAGTGCCCGACAATGCATAGAAATTCGAAATGAATTTTGTCGTTATTTTAATAACGAAGAAGCAGTGCCGTGGCAATATGAAAGATGTATGTAAATAAATGTGTCTGTGTCTTTTCTATTTGAAATAGGAAATACATTAATAATTACTTATAATGTATATTTTCTGGTAATAGATATTCAGTTTTCAAATGGATGGAACCCAATGCGGGTTGTTTCATATCCGTTTGTTGCGACCAAAAAGTTATATATATATATATACCTATGTGTGTGTGTGTAATATGTTCTTAAAAATTAATAAAGCATCTAGAAATGCATTTTTTTTAAGCTAAAAAGCAGAACGATTATTTTACCTTATGGATGTATTATAGCGGAAGGCTGATCGCAGTTTCAATTTCTATTAACCAAGCTAGGACATATTGGATATAATAAGTTATTTTGTATATAAATTTTCTATTTTTATTGTATTACATTACAATTAGTGATCAATAGAAAAAAATTATTTGCAATGCGTATAATTTCTAAATAGAGAATTTCCATAAATACTAAATAAACAATATTTTCAATATTGTTTAAATATAGTAGCTATGTGCGAATTACATAGCAAATACACAAAAATATAAACAAAAAGTGTTTTTACAACCCAAAATCATAATTCAAGTTAATTTGTTAATAAATCTACAAATAATATGCTGTTGTTAAATGAAAATAAAATTAAATCTCTTTGTGTCACCACGTGTTTTCGGCGTTGCTTCGCTAAAAGTTCAACCGTGTTGAACTTTTTAGCTAAGCAACGCCGTAACGTCACCTTGACGAAAATTGATGGAGTGGGGGTAAAACGCTGGCTTTTCTTCGCTTCGTGAAATTGTACCTTTACTCGCGTCTCGCGTCTCGCGTCTTCGCGTGTCCTTTTCCGTACTAAGCGCGAGACATTATCGTGTCTCTTGATTATGTCACAATTAAAACGTGAAAATTATTAATTAAATAAATCTTTTAATTATATTGAAAATCCTGTACATAGAAGATATAAAATAAATACATTTATAATACATTTATTTAAATACAATTAAATAAATGATTTTTTTCAAATATAATATATAAGAGCCAGTAAATTTTATTGCAATCTCTGCTGTAATAAACTTTTTTAATATATTCATTAAAAACTTATTGTTGGTATAACAACTTTATCTTTTTTTATACGTATTTCGAGCATTTTCAAATATTGTTATTCTGGAAACAATATTTGAAAATATAATTAGGTATATTTATATTATAGTATATGTATAATGTTATATAGTATAGTATAGTATAGTATATATATGTATAATGTTTCCATAAATAATTACAAATTAATAAATATTATTTTTTTATTTTGCTCACTATATCTTCTCTTAATTTATCATCATCTTTGAGTCTCTCATTAAATTTTATAAATTCAGTTAAATTGTCAATTTGGAGAGAAAGATTACGATTTTGAAGAAATTTATCAGCATTACAAATTGGGTTTTTTTTTTGCATTAACTCATTACAAGTGCTTGTTACTATTCTTTTAAAGAATTGGATATTTGTCGCACTTTAAATTTACTATATCTTTTACTAGTGTCTTTAGACCTGATAATTTAGAATATGTAATTCAATTTTTCTGTATTAATAATTAAAATAAAAAATTCAATAAAATATTTCTTTGCCTGTTTTATTGTTTTAAAATAAAAAAGATATTTATTTATATATCTGTATGACTGTCTCTCATCACGCTCGTCGAAGACAAATGTATAAAAATATATTTATATTTCTCATATGATTTTTGTGAACTATATATCACACCTAGGTAATAAATATTTATGTAAATAATCATTTTATTTTAATTATTAATACAAAAAATTGAATTAAATATTCTAAATTATCAGGTCTAATTCGGGCCAGCAGCCGCGCCGCGAGAATCATGCCTATACGTGTATATTATATCTCGCCGCTTATATGTCCCTTTTTATACTTAAAAATAAAACGGAAGTATATTTTATACATAAAAGATATTAAGTTAAAAAAATGAAGAACAGAAAAAAGTAAAAATGATAAATGATAATAGAAAAACACTCTTGGCCAACATACGTCTTTTTTTTTAAGTTTCGTTATTGATTTTTGAAAAATAACTTATTGATAGTACATAAAGAAATTAATTAAAATTAAATTAAATGTTATGTTTCTCATAAGGACTAATGGACTATACGTACATATCGTATTTAGAAGTAATGTTAAATTAGGATACTTTGCAATATTATTAGACTGATGTTTTAGAATCTCTTTCCACATGTTATTAAAATTTAATGTGAAAATATTCTTTTTTTCTTCAATAGTAAAATCATGATATAATGCAAGCCATTCTTCCTTTAAACTATTTTCATCAAAACCACTCAGGGTTTTTGTAATAAAAGAAATATAATTGAAAGATATTTCTCTGTTGCTGTCAAATAAAGCTACAGAATTTTTAAAAATTTGTAATTTATATAAAAATACATCATGCATTGGTAATCTTTTTTTAATTTCTTCGGCAGCAACGATATAAAATTGCAAACAGTTTTGTCAAATACTTGGAATTACATCTGCATGTCCTTCTGTGATTAATTTATCAAAATATTTCTCGCACTCTGATCCTGAATTAATGTTGTTAATAGGTTTATGATTTTCCTGCTCAGAAAATATTATACTTAGCTTGTAAGTAAGTCTTTTAATACTTCAGACTTATTTGTTTTATCGCTAATGACCATTTTGTTAAGAAAATATTTTATAGTATCCCACGACTCGAGTAGTCTGTCGATACATAAGTAACGTGAAAGCCACCGCATAACTTCAAAATTTTGCGATTTTTTTTTTGAAACATTTGCAAAATTTATCGAAAATAGCTGAACGCTTCGGACTGTCGTTAATATAATTTGAAATTTTTCTGAGGAATTCTTCACAGAATGGGAGTATTTTAGCGCATGCAGCGTGCGCAGCTAGTGCAGCGGAATGGCATGGATATGAAAACGTTAATAAATTTTTGCACTTTTCTTGCAGTTTCTTTTTGAAAGATAAATGTTTTCCTGTCATCATAGACGCACTATCGCATGACAGGACAAGAATATTTGAAAACGGAATCTGCAGTTTATACATTTTGTATTTAAATGCATTTAAATAATTTTTCTGCACTAGAATCTCTTGCATCAATATCAATTAATTTTACTAATTGCGACCGAGTGTCTAAAGTCTCGGAATCAACGTATCGTACAAAAAACGTCATCCATTTGTTGTTAGTTATATCTGATGTTTCATCTATAAAAATAGAAAATTTCGTATGTTGAATGTTCTTAACGACATGATCTGTCTCTATCGGGCATAAAACATTTGATATAATATTTTTACATTTCGTTCAACCCATAATCATTCAATAGATTCGGATCGCCTTATACCTGTTGAAAAAAACTGAGAATTTTTGTTACAGTTTGATGAGGAATATTTTTTTCTGCAATAAAGGCAGCAAATCTAATATCTAAAGATTTTATTCGCTCGTCAAACGACAAATGTGATTCATCAGTATTCAAATCTTCGTTCGATTTGTTCGCTTCTATATTACTTTTTTCCAACTTATCTCTATGCATTTTGAATTCTGCGTGCCGATATATATGTGATAGTCCGCAGGCAATTGATAATCACAAATTGAACAAACATTTCGCGTAACCACCTACACAGCACATAATATTGCAGAAATATTGCAGCATTATTATTTTTTCATTGCAATATTACAATGAAATATTATATAATATTGCAGTAATATTACTGATATATATATCAGTAATATATCAGTAATATATCAGTAATATATCAATAATATTACGATAATATTGCTATAATATTTGCGTGATATTTGTATAATATTGCTAGGAATTAAAAAACCATTTTAATAATTTTTATTAAATTTTATTAAATTATTTTTAATAGTATTGTTACATACAATTTTAAAATAATATTGATATTGTAAACGCAATAATATTATTTGTGTAATATTAGATAATATTTATTTAATATTGCTAAAAATTAAAACATTTTAATGAATATTATTAAATTTTATCAAATTGTTATTTTTAATAATAGTATTACATACAATATTAAGAAAATAATATTGATATTATCTTTCTATCTCTTTCTTCTTCAAAACTGCTCCATGCTACTCTGCACTGTATGAATTTCCACTGATAAAGAATGACGTAACACTATAACATAATACAAAAACTGTAATTATTATTTATATCTAATTATACAAGGTGAGTTTTATTTTGTATGCCAATTATCTTCACTAATTATCTCAGAAAGTATTGGTTTATTGGAAAAATGTTTCAGATAAAAGTTGGAGGGTTTATAGAGGAATAATGGATGATCTTATTAGATTTTGAATCTGGAACCCATGTTGAGCCCAGTAGGGTCCAAGTCAATTTTTTTAAATACTAACGCCCTTTTTTATTACATCATTACATCTTTTTCTACTAATTAATATAAACAACTTTTGTCTGAAACATTTTTATTTGCCTTATACTTTTTGAGATATTCAAGAAAAATTTGGTAATTTTTTAAATATTTAGCTTATATCTTGATAAATGCTTGTCGGAGGGAAAAATGATACAAGACTTTTTGACTTGATATGGTCTCAAGAATATGCTATTGCAATAATACCCTAATTTCTTTAAATATTTGTGTATACATTTTCTTGAAGCTTTTATGTGTACACAATTATTTAAAGAAATTAGAATACTATTGCAACAGTATATTCTTGAAACCAAATCAAGTCAAAAAGTCCTGTACCACTTTTCACTCCGACGAACATTTATTGACAAACATCTATTGTAAGCTAAATATTGAAAAAAATACCAAGTTTTCCTTGAATATCTCAAAAAGTATAAGGCAAATAAAAAAATGTTTCAGACAAAAGTTGTTCATATTAATTAGTAGAAAAAGATAATATCATAAAAAGAGG